CCCGGAAGACCCACACCAGCCATTGTATGCCGGCCGTGAAAGCCTTCGACAATACACTGATCTAAATAGTTCACACCACTTAAGGCAACAAGGGTATACACTCAAACTCATACATTAGTGTGATTCTTATTGTTGTCACTATTATTAAAATCAACATTCATTTGATTTCTATCTCACCATCTTGTGACCCTGTTGATCCCTTGCATGGCTGCAGCTCAGAGCAGAAAAACAGAGCAGATCCTTCTGTGAATGCAAAGATAATACAGGCAGTCCTCATTTAGCAACCACAATTGTGACTGGCAACTTGGTTGTTAAGTGAGGTGGTTGCTAAGTGAAGCCACAACTGTGCTTATGATCTTACTTCAGCTTTCCTTTGCTTTACAGACCTGCGAAGGTCATCAATGCAAGGATTGGTTGTAAAGTTACTTTTTCATCACTGTCGTACCTGCAAATAGTCACTAAACGAGGCGGTTGCTAAACAAGGACTACCTGTATACAGCTGCTTGACGGGAAAAATCACCTGGTCGAAACTTTCTTAAGACAGACCGATTAGCTACAGGGAAAATAATAACAAATAAAACTTCTACAACTTGATTATGAGACCCACATTTTCTTGTCCTTTTAACTTTACCTTTGGACTCCTGGCACTATTCTATTACCTTCATTGCTGCATCTGGTCTTCTGTCTAGTTTCCTGTCTTGCTTAGACCAGTTCTCTTGGTGTGCTGGCTTAACCTACCATAGTTATGGTGCAATCTTCTTCTCCTCAATCTTCAATCCAGCACACATTCCTGATTCTGACTTTGGATTCTTTCTTGGCTTGGGCCCTGATTCTGACTCTCTGATTCTATGCACATTGTGACTTTAGACCTTTCCATGGCAACGCGCAACAACAAAGGACTTTAACAGCTGAAAGACAATTATATCCACAAGTAACAAAACGTGGGGAAAGACGTGAGAGACAATCCACAGAGCCTCTAGGAAACAATTTTTGTGTTGGATGACAAGATACTGCAGTCAATTTATTTTATGAATTGCGCTTACAAAGGCACAGAGATCATTTCCAGATCTTCAACAAAAACAAGAGTTTTGCTCCAAAAAAAGAAGCTGTATGCAAGCACTCACTACAAAGTCTTACACAATGTGAAAAAGTACCCCAAAACCAATTGCATTGATAAAATGCAAAGAAGAAAACACTAAAATATGGGGGTTTTTTCCCCAGTGTTCATGGATCATGTAAGTTAGAGTACATAAAAAACTGTACAAATAGTTGCTCATCAAAAGAAATGAGGAACCTAATTTTCCATCCTTGGCACGGTTGTCTAACCCTTCTCCTTGAAAAGCGCCGGTTAGGGAAGTTGCTTGGAAGCCAGGAGCAATGGACTTGGAGTCATCTCAGGTTTCAAAGCCCAGAATTCAAGGAAAGAGAACTCAAAGTCAAAACGAGCTGTATGCTGAAAAGGTTGTTATTCCCAAGTATCTATTTTTCAGGCGATAACTATAAGCAACTGCAATTATACATACTTGCTTTAGTGTTGCTGCTATCTTTCTCAAGCACTAAGGAATCACAAGACACTGCTGACATGTTTACACCCAAATCAAGTCTATGTAAATTTCTAAATTTGAATCAATCCATTTAAATCAATCCATTTCAAATCTCCCTCAAAATTAAAATTTTAGAGTCACTTGTATAGTGAGATGGGCAGCATATATCAATTTGAAAAATAAATAAATAAAAATAAAATTATAAATAAATAAATAACTTTGCTGCTAACCCAACATTTGAAGAGCATTGATTAGATACAGTATCTGTATTTCTCCTATACCTTTACATTGAGCAGGTATTTAACTCATGTCACTGTTAGCAGAAAAATAAATATTCTGGGCTCTGATCCCCCCACATTTTTCCCCTTCCTTTTGTTTAACAAAAGGGGGCAAGTTGCCAGAACTTTAAAGCTGTTTGATCTGGGAAAGCAAGAACAGTCAAACAAAATTAGAGATCAGACTCACATTATTGCTGCAGGTTTTATATCGGATATTTCTGCCTTCACAGTTCCTGGAAGACAACAAAAATAAGACTTGAATGATTATGAAGAAGTGTCATTGAAAGACAAGTCTTTCCTATACATTATTATCTCAATTGCTGTGTGTGTGTGTGTATTGTTGTATCTCACTTTTAACTGTGTTTAGAGGATGATGGGTTAACGTAACAGTCTGATGAAGGAAATTACAGTTTCTACTGTTAACCTTAGAGCTGTGTAACATCTCAACCTATTCAGTTAATTCTGAAATACTATGCACGAATTGCATATGGCTTACTAGCAGAAGCCTACCTAGACTATAAAGGCTTCTAGGCCACACTGTCATTATTTATGAACAAACATTCAGCTTATAGAATGCAGAGATCAAGGCTCCTTATCAACAAGATAGGAAGCCCACATGGGCAATGGGTTGGGATCCTGTGAACAAGAAAGAGGACAGGCAGGAGAAACGGTTTGGTCACTCCAGATCTCTACCACTAAGAGTACCTTCTGAAAACCTATCTATCTATCTACCTATAGGTGGATTTCCACATTAAGCTACCTCATTATATGGTTTTGACTTGCCATGCCATGTGAACCCTGTCCTTCTGCTTTGTTAAATCATGGTTTATGGGATGTCCTGCAAACCCAGCTACATGCAGTTTGTTCATTAAAAGATGGTTGTCCAAGGCTGGGCTTAGCACGATATGAGAACCAGGTGCACAAACAGATACTTGCACTAGGATACAGGAAAAGTCAATGCTAAAAAGAATGCTGAGTCTATCCACCAAATTTTCAAAGACAAATTTAGGGTTAAGATTCTTCTTTACATGATACAGTAAATATACACCTGGAACCTGGCAGGCACAAAAGAGGCTGAAAAGGAGAAATTTTAAGAGGCAATATTGGCTAGTGGGGAAGGTGTCCCACTGCTTTGCAACATCCATCCTATGGGAGAAGACTGCTGGATTATTTCTACATATGCTTGGCATGAAGCCAGAAAACAGGTTGAACTCACAGACTGCACTAAGCCATGGTTGGTTTTAACTACAAGCTATATTGACTTACTTTACACTTAATAGTGAGCTGCAGACCATGGTTTGCAAACCATCATGTAAAGGTATACATCATTGTAAACCAAGACCAAACAATCCACATTACAGCCTAGTAATGTGTGTCACCTGGCCAAAAATACTTTGGAGGCATTTTTGATACACTGTCAGGCCAGCAGCTCTCCATTTTATCTTTTAACATTTAAAAAGCTCTTCTTTGCATGTATTTAAATTGCCCCCTTATGGAGATAGATTTAATGCAAACAGCCCGAATCTCCAGTGCGGAAAGAGTCCTGCATCCAACTTTATGACCTGCACTTAGAATGACCAACCTGCCATTCAAACATCTCCTTAGTGAGTAGGATGCACCTCCTCCACAGGTACGTGAGCAATCACTCCATGCACCCCAGGCATCCCAGCCACCTTCTTTATCTTCATTCGACTGGGTGATTCTTGAGGTCTGGAAGTACAAGAGAAAGAAAAGCAATTCAGGAGTCCAGAAAACTTGTACATTCTGAAAATCCATTTAATTGGCTTTTTATGCCAAGAACATTGCTATCCTACGGGTTAATCAGAGATTTACATCAGAGCTGTATGACGTGACTGTGATACGATGGCACTGTAATTGAAAATGTTAGCCTGATTCTTATTTTGACTTTACATTATTTATCAGGATTTATCAATTCGGTTACTAAAAAAAGTTTTATTTAAAGAGATAAGGAGACAACTATGATTTCATAGCATGTGCATGTACAGTACCATGTAGTTAAAAGCCTGTTGTCTTTCTGCATTATTTATTATTCTGGTCTTCCTCTTTCCAATCAATTTCCAGCAGCATTATTTTTTTTTCAACTTCTCTGTTGAGGATCACTAGGTTGTTCAGCTGCTCCAGAGTTGGAGCAGAATTATTTGTCCTCAGAAGAGAAGGAATGTAGCTGCACCCACTTTTTAAAGTAAACCAAACCGATTCATACTTTCTTAGCTAATGCATGGGTACAGTAATTCTTTGAGACTTTGCACTTCATAGTTTGCAAGATATACAGGTTTGCGAAACAGCCATTTACTTTCAAGTATGGTAAGAAATTGAAGATTACTTTTGCATGATAAATGATATTCTGAAAAGAGGGCCTCTGAGACAGACACATATTCATCTGTTTATTTGATTTATACCCTGCCTTCTACTCAGATGAGCAAGCCATTCAAAACAATACTGATGTTTTAGCTGACATCCTGAAAAAGGGATTTATGCTCTTGAGAAAAGTCTTTAAAAATACTGGCTTGAAGTTGGGTTGTTTCAAAAAATGGAAGATCAGGAATCTGTGATCCTCGAGATATAGCAGAACCCTGAACAATGTTTCCGAGCATCTCTCACTGCTGGCTTTGTAGAGGTGGACTACAGTATGGGGAATTTTAGCTGAGCAATATCCATCAACTGCAACTAATCATTGGAGAGACTAAGCAGCATCTTGATTCTGGGCACAGAGTTAATGTTATGAAGCAAAAGCAGAGTTAAAGAATGAAGCAAATGACTCAATCAACCACTTCAGAAGAGAGAGGAATCTGATAATGTGATGCTAAACTGTAGTTCAGTGTTACACATGAACAAGACCATTTCCTCCTATCAAATCTGCTGCTTTAGCTATGAGGTTAGAGAGCTTCTGAGTAGATCTGCTTACTGATGACTACTCCAGTAAGCAAGCTGACATAAAACCTTCCTTCAGCATGGAGGCTCCAACCTGCAAGATGTTTTTAAGATACAGACTCTGGCATTATTCAATCCACTCCACTCCAAACCTTTAGGAGGAAAAGCCAACTTTCTTTCAAGCGCTTTGGATTAAATTTGACAATACTGCTGCTGAATAATATAGGGAACTATTAAGCCCACCCCTTTCCAAAATGTTCTTTTAAGTTTGCCAGCCTATCCCTTTAAATACCAAATGGGGGACAGCCAATAACATTCTTGTGTTTCTCTTTGCACATATAAAGTGTTAATAAAGTCACCCTTGAGTGAAGCAGAACTTCTGGTGACTACATGGACACATCTGTAAGTTTTCTCAGCAACAGTACAGAAGTGGGTTGCAACTGCCTTCTTCTGCAATGTTTCTTTCATTTTTCAGTCCATGTTGGCTAGATGTTGCCACCTACTATGACTTATAAATTGTCATAGAGAAACAAATCCACAAGAACTTGTTCTCAACTCGAATCAGAGCCTGTGGTCAGTGATGCTAATAAACTAAGAAAATTGACATAATATGTATTTATATTTCTTAGCTCTAAATCCAATCACCTAAAAATACATTAATGCTAGTTTATCTAATTCAAAATTAAATATAATGCAAGTAATAATTACTTTCCCAAAGCACATCATAGAAGCAATTCCAAAACAGCTGATTGTCCTCTATCAAAATGAAGATTTTAATTCCCTCTTTATATGTACTATAGTTTAATTCTACCATTTCTTTCTCCTAACCTTCTCATAGTTCAACAAACGTTTGTCCTGAGCTTCTCACCCTTCAAGCTGGGAAACTGTTGATTATTGACATAACTGACATCTCTGCCCTGAGAAACTCTGGCTGTCAACTTCACTTCCACAGGCAGGATGCCTAAACAGTCAGGGATCTTGCAAGGCAAAGAGAGTGATGAATATCTCTCTTCTACAGATATGACTTTTTCTTGTTGAATCCAGCAAACGTTTCTCAAAAACTCAC